GTGAGTCTTTTCCTTGCAGTTTGTAATACTTTTGTTTATAATATTTGGATGCGAAGAGTTACAGAAAAGCTGCCGCGTTTTAGTTTATGAAAAGTTATGTTTTTTCCTCTTTAAACATGACCCGTTAAGGGTTTAGCGCTGTGATAATCTCCTCTATGCAACTGGTTGGTATTTCAAGAAGCGTTAAACCCGTTATTCAGCACGAGTACTGGAAAATCGATCCTCCGTCCGCTAATAGTGTGTAAAATATTTAGACCCTCAAGGAAGGTTCCTTGATGCTGGTGAGGGGCTCTTGATCTAGGGAACTGGATCTGTGCTCCAATTCCCTAAATTAATCCTGAATACCTTCCACATCGCCCCCCCCCACACACACACAAGCGTTGTATAATCCTACGGGTTTACCTCTTCCCCTTGGTTATAAAAATAAAGTATTTAGAAAAAAAAAAATAAAATATAGGAAAATATTTTGGTCTTGCATATACATATTTTTTTAATTATTACGACATTTCGACTGTAAAAAAGAGAGAAATAACAAAATTTCTGTTATATCTTTTGTTTATACAATACTTAATGCGATTAATTGGGGAAAGTTTCCGTGGAAAAGTTTCAGTAGTAAACTGAAAAGTCTACTTTTTCTTTTCTTTTTATCGTTTTTCTCGTGACGCTGCAGAAGGTGTTTGGTAGTTGAGGCTGAAGGATCGCTGCTCCGCCCGCCGCCCCGCGACGGACGGTCGCTGACTGGGCAATGAGAGGCAATCAGGTTCGATTCAAGAAAGATGCTAGTAGATCCAATACTCTTGGTAAGAGTCCTTCATCGGATCAAGGCATCTCCAACACCCCCCCCCCCTCTTCCTTTTTCTTCCTTTGAAGAGGGAGGAAACTTACGTCAAGATTTTAAGAGGCGTTAGATACTATTTAAATTTGTGAAGCATTTGTTTTTTTCTTGATAACCCCCGCCCCGTCTCCCCTCCTCCCCCCTCTCCCCCCCCTCCCCCCCTCTCCCCTCCTCCCCCTCTCCCCTCCTCCCCCTCTCCCCTCCTCCCCCTCCCCTCTCCCCCCCCCCCCCTCTCCCCTCCCCCAACAGACGCACAACAGAGGTGCTGTTGCCGTTGTCATCTCTGGAACTTTGTTTATTACTAAATACCGTATTTTAATTATGGAATGGTAATTTTATGGGGAACAAACAATGTGGTTGAAGTGACGGACTAGACAACTTTCATTCTTAAAATCTAACGTTTATTATAACCATTATTAATTATTAGTAGAAGTACTACTACTTTCTTACTACAACTACTACTACAATTACTTACAACTACATCTACTGTACTTACAACTACTTACAACTACATCTACTGTACTTACAACTACTTACAACTACATCTACTGTACTTACAACTACTGTACGTACAACTAATTACAACCACAGCTACTTATTACAACTACCACCTACTGCAACTATCACCTACTACTGCAACTATCACCTACTACTACTGCAACTATCACCTACTACTACTGCAACTATCACCTACTACTGCAACTATCACCTACTGCAACTATCACCTACTACTGCAACTATCACCTACTACTACTGCAACTATCACCTACTGCAACTATCACCTACTACTACTGCAACTATCACCTACTACTACTGCAACTATCGCCTACTACTGCAACTATCGCCTACTACTACTGCAACTATCACCTACTACTATTGCAACTATCACCTACTACTACTGCAACTATCACCTACTACTGCAACTATCACCTACTACTACTGCAACTATCACCTACTACTGCAACTATCACCTACTACTACTGCAACTATCACCTACTACTACTGCAACTATCACCTACTACTACTGCAACTATCACCTACTACTGCAACTATCGCCTACTACTACTGCAACTATCACCTACTATTGCAACTATCGCCTACTACTACTGCAACTATCACCTACTACTGCAACTATCACCTACTGCAACTATCACCTACTACTGCAACTATCACCTACTGCAACTATCACCTACTACTGCAACTATCACCTACTACTACTGCAACTTTCACCTACTACTACTGCAACTTTCACCTACTACTACTGCAACTTTCACCTACTACTACTGCAACTATCACCTACTACTACTGCAACTATCACCTACTACTACTGCAACTATCACCTACTGCAACTATCACCTACTACTGCAACTATCACCTACTACTACTGCAACTATCACCTACTACTACTGCAACTATCGCCTACTACTGCAACTATCGCCTACTACTACTGCAACTATCACCTACTACTATTGCAACTATCACCTACTACTACTGCAACTTATCACCTACTACTGCAACTATCACCTACTACTACTGCAACTATCACCTACTACTGCAACTATCACCTACTACTACTGCAACTATCACCTACTACTGCAACTATCACCTACTACTACTGCAACTTTCACCTACTACTACTGCAACTTTCACCTACTACTACTGCAACTTTCACCTACTACTACTGCAACTATCACCTACTACTGCAACTTTCACCTACTACTACTGCAACTTTCACCTACTACTACTGCAACTTTCACCTACTACTACTGCAACTTTCACCTACTACTACTGCAACTATCACCTACTACTGCAACTTTCACCTACTACTACTGCAACTTTCACCTACTACTACTGCAACTATCACCTACTACTACTGCAACTATCACCTACTACTACTGCAACTTTCACCTACTACTGCAACTTTCACCTACTACTACTGCAACTATCACCTACTACTGCAACTTTCACCTACTACTACTGCAACTTTCACCTACTACTACTGCAACTTTCACCTACTACTACTGCAACTATCACCTACTACTACTGCAACTATCACCTACTACTACTACTACCACTTACTACTAATACCACTTACTACTACCACCACTTACTACTACCACCACTTACTACTACCACCACTTACTACTACTACCACTTACTACTACTACCACTTACCTACTACCACTTACTACTACTACCACTTACTACTACTACCACTACCACTTACTACTACTACTACTACCACCACTTACTACTGCCACTTACTACCACTTACTACCACTTACTACCACTTACTACCACTACTACCACCACTTACTACACTTACTACTACTACCACTATTGCCACTTACTACGACTACTACTACCACTTACTACCACTACTACTACCACCAACTACCACCACTACTACCACCAACTACCACCACTACTACCACCATCACTACTACCACCAACTACCACCATCACTACTACCACCACTACTACCACCATCACTACTACCACCAACTACCACCACTACTACCACCATCACTACTACCACCAACTACCACTACTACCACCAACTACTACCACCAACTACCACCAACTACCACCACCAACTACCACAACTACCACTACTACCACCAACTACTACAACAAAATGTCATCATTCTCATTCTCTGCTCAGACGTTGTGCTAAGCGGTTGTCAGCTGCTTCTCCTCAGTCCCGACACCTGGTGGAGGAGTTTTTACAATATCAACAACAATGGCGACTGCGTTTCGCCGACGTATTAATACTGGTTGTATTCAACTAACGCAGGGCTTTATCACCAGCGAATCAGTAAATGTGTTAATGCCAGCAATCATTCGTGATACATATGGCATTCAACGTGAATCCTTGTGTGGCGTCGCCTTGAATGGAACTTCACGGATCTTCGTCAGGTTTTGTGACACTCAGATTTACGAGAAGATTGTGACCCAGTACCAGGATATAAGTAAGCAAGTCACCCCAGCAGTTTCTGTCCAGTTGCATGACGTTTCACGATACTATACGTGGGTACGTGTGCGAAACGTGCCTTTTGAGGCCAATGAAGTTGATATACGTGACGTTTTTGAACGTTATGGGAAGATCCACCTGGTCACCATGGGTAGGTGGTCTGACGTGGCCGTCTGCTGGTCTTCAGGAGGGGTCATTTACGTTGAAAATGTCCCTACGTCAGCCGATTCCTTCGTACGTACAACTGGAGGATTTTCGTTCCCAGGTGTACGTTACGTATCCTGGACAGAGAAGAACTTGCCGCCTCTGCGGCGCTTTGGATCACATAGCGGCTCAGTGTGTTCAGCGCCAGCCTCCATCGGGGCGTGGTCGTCGTCCTGACGGTGAGGTACCCCGTCAGGCTCTGGAAGTGCAGGTTGTCGAGAACTCGCCGCGTCTGACATCATGGAGTGCTGAGGTTGATCGGGCCATGCTACTAGTCATCTTGTGTGACTCTACCTGGGACTGCCTCCCTTGACGAGGTGGAACATGTGAACAGTGAAATCCCTCTAGCAAGAGAGGCAGGTGATATGGAGGCCGACATTGTATCTGCGATAAGTGACCTATTAGCATCGCATGAGTCTGATTCTGTGCCGTGTTCTGATGAGGGAAGATTGTGCAGATGATACTGATCAGATAGCTAAAGTGAGAGATTTGGAGAGTTCGAGAGTTCATACTGTTGAGGCAGAAATTCACAAGAACACTCCAAGTACTGACATGTCTGAAGATGCTGTTTCTAGGAAGCGTGCGGCTACCCCGTCCGACTCCGATGATGTCTTGACCCCTGGACAACGTTCAGGGAAGAAGACTTGGTCGGAAATCATGGGTGGGGGGAGGTCGCGCGAGTCCAGGACAGCAGGTAATATCCCGGGGATTGCCAAAGGTGCGGGAAGTGCCTTGGGTGCTTGCCGGAGCAAAGAGAAAAAGGGAGTGGTAGCCCCTAGAGGAAAGCCACCTTTAACACAGTTAGGTGTGTAACTATTAATGCTAATGGTTTGAAATCTGTCAGAAAGTGTGTGCAGGTGCGTGAGTGGTTGAATCGTTTTGCAGTGGATGTGTGTTTTTTTGCAAGAACATAACCATAAGGTAGGAAGTTTGTTTGAGATGGATTGTTATGACATTTATGTGACTCACTCCAGACGTCTGAAAGGT